TAATCATACCGCTATCAATCAACCCATATTGCTGCCTTTTCACTAATTCTCGTAAACATTTCCAAATAACCAAAGCACCAAGTGAAAAACCAATCTACAAAATATCAAATAACAATCAATTAATTATATGTTTAACGCTTTTTTATCCACCCTAAGAATTAGAAATTCATAATACCAAAACTGTTGGTCTTTTTCCCTGAACACGTTCTGTCAAAACATCAGCCAACACTAAACCTGCTTTGTGTGCTCGATCTACACCAAGCGCCCATGGATTATCTATCAAATCTCCGGCTTTCATTAAAGCTGCTGGCAACACAAGCGCATTCGCTAAAGTTGCAAAGACGGTTCTTTTTAGAGCTTCACTGGCTGCAATCGAAACAGTTGATTCCGCTAGAAATCGACGAAATGATCGACCAAGTGACAAAAGAATTTCAGTATCGAAACTCAAGGCAAATGTATCACTATAGTCAGAAACGTTCCCAAATGTAGGAAACCAAGGATTAGTAACTTCATCGACATTTTCCAAAAGATACCCTGAGATGACAATGTTGACCTATCGTTCGGGTAAATAGATTATAGGCAAGAAGTTTGTTCATGGTTAGATGCAATATAAAAGGAATAAATAATAAATTTTGATCAATAATAAATCACTAACATGAAGAGACGGAATAAGAGGAATTGAATTGTCGTGAACAATCCGACTGAAAGAAAATTCCTTTAAACCTTGCATTCTTTTATGCATCTTGTAGCCTGTAAAAAATTAAATTAGAAAGGTAATAAAGCATAACAAATATATATATTTATAAAAAAAATCAAATACCTGCAAGTCCACCACCCGCAATCCCGAATAAGGATGTCATTAATGTTACGCTTGATGCTGCAGTTACAAAAACCCCCGCTCCAGTGATTGCACCTATTCCAGCAGCAACTAATGGTGCAGCTTCATTTGACCACACACAGTAATTAGCTTAAACAATCCAATAGTCCAATAAAGTATATAAAAGAATGCATTAAGTGACTTACCCAGTCCTCCAGTTAGGCCGATTGCAGTTGCGCCAACTACAACGCCAACACCAGTAGCCAACCAATGCCATTTTTTCTTCTTTTGATCCCGACTAATTAGACTAGTGCTCGCGCTATTATTGAAGACTTGAACATTCTGATCGCTTTCATCAGAAATCTTTTCGTTTTCAATCGGTTGTTCTTGCAAAAAATATAATTTTTGTGCTAACTCTCTCTCTAATGACTTGACATCAGTTATGGAAACATTTAAATATTGTGCATACTTGAATAAAAGTGCTCTCGAACGAGCATCATATTCTACCGGCTTATTCACTAAGACTATCGAATCGGTTAATTGCGTATCAACATTATTTCCATTAGATACTAGATCATTCACTTTTCCTTTTAGATTTAATCCTTCATTAGAATTGCTTATCTCGCTTCGCGTGAGACCAAGACATACTAATAAAATTTCCGAAATAATGTCCTGACGAATATCTGGTTGCTTGAAAGTGGATATTAACAAGTCAATGTTTATTTTATTGTCGTTGTTATCGTGTTCTGTTTAAATTCATTTTTAAAAATTTTTATTAATTGATTTTGATAATACATCGGTCATAAAAAGATCAAAAAAAAAAAAAAATACAATTGATATATTGGTAATTCGAGAATAGCTAATCTATTTAGATGACCATGAACTCATGAACTTTAGAACTTGTTTAAGCCCAGAATCATCGAAAATAGAATAACTATTCTAGAAATTTTTGTTACATAGTGACCATGATGAAAATCAAGCCATAAGAAGTGAACGATCGACCATCATGAACAACTACATTTCGAGAACTTCAGATTCAAATGAAGAAAATAGAATAGGACAAATAGTTCACAAACTATTGATGTTAAAGCGATTAATCAAAATATTCTGAAAAATATTAAAAAACATTTCTTATATAATTTGTGAACGGACCTTTTTAGTTTGAGCTTAAAATCGTATAATGCAGATATCTTACATAGTTATCTGATTCATCTTGGACTTAAATGAATACTAAATTCATATCACTCATCTAAGCCAGAATTAATAAAAGCCAATCCAAAATTCACGAAATATTGGCGATATATAGTTTATCATCTTTCCTACTGTACTTATGGCAACAATTTTTATTACGGATTAAAACGACCTCTATGGGTTTATGAGAATCGTTTAAATCCATAATCATTCAAAGATCAGTTATTCTCGAATTACCAAATGTACGTGTACTTTTTTTTTGTTTGATCTTTTCGGCGGCCATTGCATTCACTCTTATCCAAGATATAAAGGTAAACCTTTTGTATTGTCAACAGCTAAATGTTGAAATAGAACAGCAAGAAATTGCTGTTTCCATTCTAAATCAACGTCTTTATTCGACCATACACTTTCGTAAACAATGTGAGTACTTAAAGTTGCAACGTTAGACCGTTGGGTAGAAGTCTAAACGAAGAATTATTAGTTTATGCGACTTCAGAATTTTAAAAATCCAACTAACATATCATACCCAATTGTGACTTGAAGCTAGAACAGTTTCTCCTTCCATTACCGTTATTTACTAAGTAAACTAAATCAAAATTCAGAAATTCACGTTAACTTTAATAATAAAAAACATTTATTTGATTGGCTAATTTATGTGGATTAAAACGTGACTATCAACCAATAAAATCAATTAAAAAATCAATATACCGGTATGAATTAATTCATATTAGCGAAGCTTTTACTCTTCATTATATTTTGAATAATGATTCTATCATATTGGAGACGCGAACAACCCTTAGTCCATATAATTAATAACAAAATGACATTGGATAACTTATTTATACGTATACTCTAAGTGCTGTAACGTTTCACTAATAAAAAATCACTGCAATACGTATTGTTTATACGAAGTGTCAAAAGTTTACTACGTATACAAAAATAATCAAATTTCAAAATATGCCTACTTTTCATTGGACTAGAGAATCTGGTATGATAGCCATAGGAGCATTGGCTGCCAAAATGCAGTCAACTCTTTCTAATAACGACCTGAAGATTCTGGAAAATAGTTCGTTATATTAAAATTACTGTTTTCTTAAGAACCCATGCCACTTATACTGAACTATATATTATGAAATTTCAAAAGTTTTGAGTCGACTGTACTTAAAATCCTCTAATTGGTTAAACAAAATTAGAAAAAAAATTTTATTATACGTAATTTAGTTATGGCATACCAGAGTGGCACCCTGGCGTGCTATCGCTATTTTCTAAATGGCATGCCAAATTATTTAAACTAGGAAAACGGGATCCGTTGGGTTCCGGAGCGCCGCTTTGTATTTCGAGGTAAGAACGTTGATGTTATTACGACTGATTTTTCACACGGTGTGCAACGTATAAAAAATCAATTTTACA